TTGTCCACTTTCATTTTGGCTCTTGTACCAACAAAAACTGTAAAAGAGTGTAATCTTACTAATTTGCTCTTGCTTTTTAAGTTAGTGGAGTGGAGCAAATATACTTTTCCTAGCCTCCCTCAATAGTGCTTTATGCCAATCGCTTTGATATCAATAAGCTTGGAGTTGGAGCTGGGACAATCCATTGTCTTCACCCTCAACGAGATGTTCTGGAAGCTGACGACAGCCATAACGAAGGAAAGAGAATTTCTTCAGCAACAATAAAACCAGAGTGTCCAGATCTAGCGGGATGGATGGAGTATATATATAAAAGGAATTAAAATACACTACAACTACTTATGAATTGTATTTTCACCTTTAAGCAAACACTTTTAGGCTTATAAATATAAGAATCCATAACCAATATGCATTTTAATTTTGATAGTTTTTTCAAGAGTATGTTAGGCCATTTTCAAGAGCTCAACTAAAGGGATAAATCCCCCTTCTAAGCACATATCTACTTTGGTATGCTAAAACACGTAATACCTTAGGTCCGTTTTAGTTATTCCTTTCTTTTGATCTTTAACCGTAATGCCTTGGTTTCCAAAGACAGGTAACCTACTGCTGCAATACATGATGAAGGGCTCAATCGGGGGACAAGTTGTTGCGAATTGATGGGTGCTACTACAAAAAAAAAAGAAAAAAATTGCAGGTAATTTTCATGGATCCTTTTCTTTCTTTCTTTTTGCATTTTTTTCATTTCAATTTCATAATGATACTCTAAGATTACGAGAATCTATTTTCACATCTGAAAGGTGTTTGACACGATAAAAGGAAGAGGTGCGTTGATTTATTTTAATCCATTTAATACACAACTTATTACCTAGATATTAAACTTACATGGAAAAAATTGGAGGTATTTTTCATGGATCCTTTTGTTTCTTTCTTTTGTCAAATTATTTTATGCAATGTTAAACTTAAATGTTCTATTGAAAAATAATGCATATGCCTTCAACAACATACTCATTATTTTCACTCCCATTTTTTTACACAACTAGGTTGTTTCATTGAGGAGCTGGGAGCATATTTTGTATACAAAGAATTAAGGATGGTGAATTTAATTCACTTATTGATTGAATAATTAATTTGGTAGAAGCATCTATGCTATATCGACTAAATGATGAAACACATTCCCAACTGTAAATTTATTAACCTATATTTGATATTCCAAGAAAATGCTCCATAACTCTAAAGCCTTATGTTCAAAATAGAAGAATTATAATTCAAAATCAGTTGTCTTAAAAAAATTTGGTCTACATGAGATTCTTTGTTAATTACATTTACCAAAGTGCTAATCAAACAAAAAGAAGAAGATACCCTTAATCAGTGGTAATTACATGTGTTTTTATTCAATTTCAAAAGTGAATTCTAGCTTTTAAATGAATTTACTCTCATATATTACATGTATTTATGAATAAATTGAAATTAGTTTTGTTGAAAAACATTATTACTTTAAACACAACTCAAAGTTGAAATGTTTGGGTTATAAAAGTAGGTATAATGTCTCTTGGTAGTTCAATATCAATGACATTTGGCTGGAAAAGTACTCATTTTCTCATTTACTCTTTTTCAAACCCAATCATATGGTTTTACAATGTATGAATACATATCTTTATTAGTATTAGGGTTTAACCCATTTTAGCTACACTTTAAATTGATAAAAACAAATACATAAATTAGAGCTGAATATACAATACAAAGAAATGATACTCACATTTATTAGTCTCGAGACAAATTTTTTTACTGAGTAACTTTCTTTATATAAGATCTATACTCTACCAATTCAATTTCTAATTAACAAAATAAAAGTTCAATGAAATAAACTTTTGTGCATTATGTATTAAAAATAATATGCTATTGTATAAAGTAATATTTATTTAGTTAATGATGAAAATTTACTCAATTTAATTTAAAAAAGATAAATTAAATGAATATACAAAGGCAATATATTCAAAGGTCATAGCTTGTTTCTTTGATGACTTGAATTTGGACCAGATTTTGTTATTTTAGTCTTTAGTATGAGGTCTATCCCAAAGATCAGATTACAAAGATCAACTGATTATATTTTGCTGGCCCATTTACAAAATGGACACAATTCCTTATCTCCAATCAAAAAAATTATCATTATGAGTTTTTGTATTTCAGTCAGTCCAAATGTAGTTGTCCACTTGTCATATTCAATAAAAAAAATTGTGATAATTTATCTACAATATTCTATGGATGAGCATTGTTGATACAAGTCACTCAAAGAACCTAAGAGCAATGAAAATGCTCCTGACGCCCATAGGCGTTAAGGTAGTTTTAAGGCGTGGTGGCTTTAAACACTGCCACCTCTATCGTCACCTTGGCGTTAAATGTTTTGTGTGAAACGTTTAACGCAGCAAGGCTGCAATTTTGGCCGTTGCCCCCCTCTCCCAACGGTCAAAAGTAAAGTCGTTGGGCATTTTTTTATATTTTCAAGTATAAATACTATCGGTTTTTAATAAAAAATTGCACACAAAACATATTCTCATTCTCTCTGCAATTTTTGTTATTTAATAAATGTAATTTTTTTTTATGAATGTAATTCTTTAATGAACTATTCTCGCGCGTTGAAATCCGCATCAAAATTTTAAAACCCATCTTCATGATTATCTTACACAACAAAACTCTATGAACTAATGAAATAAAATACAAATTCCATTCCCAATATATATAAGTGTTTTCTTTCGCAGGGAAAAAATAAAAGTGAGAACATAAAATAAAAACAATTAATAAAAAACAAAGATCGAACCAAACATGCAGCCAGTAATAGCTATAAACACTAATAATCCATGATCCTGCAAATTTGATCAACAACAACAACAACCCAGTTGAATCACACTACAGACTTTGCCCCTGCAAATCTGATCCCTTTCCTTAAAAATCAAAACTTTGAGCTGAAAATGGTATATAAAGTGCACACACACCTAACCCCTTGTCGATAGACATATCTCAAATAAAGCCATTTGAATGTCTTCTTTGCAAAAACTCTTTAAAAGGTAAACTTTAACGACTGTAGAGAAATGAAAATAAAACAGATTGCTGCCGTTTTAAGGAAATCTAGACAAAATTCAAACTTATTTTCTATATGAGATTACATAATAGATTAATGAAATAAATATAAAATTCATAAAAGCTTTTTAGGCTTGCAAAGGATGAAAGTGATGCTTCATTGTCCATCAACTTCTCCTCTTTTGCTCATCCATCCGTTGAGAAAATCATCGCCAGAAAATAACTACTTGAAATTGAAGGGTTGAATTACTCATCAAAACATGAATACAACCAAGATTCATCAATATTTAATTCCAACTACGGGGTAAAATAGATTTTCTTCATAACATATCTTTATTAGATCAAACTGTTAAGTCAAAAAAGTAGAAATAAAGAGAAAAGGAAATAAAACCTGAACCATTTATGACTGCTGCACAATTTCTCAATGTGACAGAGACTAATGTGCCATGTTATCCAAAGTTAGGCTCCTTTGAAGAAAATCCATAAAGACCTACATCTACAAATGAAACAAGTATGTTCAATAACAATATAATGTAAAATAGTTCTACTTTAGAGAATGGGAAGCCAAAATTTAAGCAAAATTCTTTAAAAAATTTGATTTATAGCATGTATGTTTAGAGAATTGTAAGCTTCAACTTAAACAAAAGTCTATTAAAATGAAACAAATTTGTTAATAACAATATTGTTGTAAAGTATGGAGTATGTTCTACTTCAGAAAATGAAGACAAAACTGAAACAACTCTATTAAAAAATTTATTAATATAGCTGAACATTTTCCTTTAGGTAGTGTTTGGCAACCAGCATTTCATTTCAATTCATGCATTTCAATTCCAAATTTGAAATCTTGAATTTCAAATGAAAAGGGGAGGTGCATGGATTTCAAATTAAGCTTTGTTTTGAATGAGAAGAATTTGACTCAAATCCAAATTCAAAATTTTTAATTTTCCCAAACATGGAATTTGAGTCAAATCCAGATTTGAAATCCAAATCCATGTTCCCAAACATACCATTAATTTTTTCAAAAAAATGGTTAAACCAGCTTGAATTATTTCTCAAATAGGAAAGCTCCATCCATTTAAGAATTACTCCCTCCGTCCCACTCTCTTTACCTTTTGTCACACCATCCAATGCACTTCTTTAATCCATTTTATCTTGTAATTTGTATATTAAAAAATTATAGAAATTATATATTAATAATCTATATATTAAGACAAATCAAACAAGATCACACATGACTATATTTAGGCTTACACATTGAGAGAATTTGATAAGTCAAAGTGTTTAAATGAACAGTTCCAAAAGTCAAAAGTGGACAAAGAGAGTGGGACGGAGGTAGTATGTTGATGTATTCCTTGAAACTTTACAAACACAAGATGTGTCTTAACATCGAAACATTCACATGAGAAAACTAACAATTTAATCAATTTTTAAACAGAAAATGTAAAGGAAGGACCAAATTAACAATAGAATATCATTCATCGTAACCTAAACAAATAAGTAAAAGGACAGAAAGAAAACAAACAAGAATCAACATCAAATGCTAGAAAACCAGAAAAATCTGGTGTCAAAAACCAGAAAAGAACCACATGCATTGTAAAACAATCTTTAAACGAAATCTTTATCTAGCCCTGAACTCATTCTTTAAACTGTAAACTGATTTTAAGTCAATTGTTGGCAAGATTAAAAATAATCAATGTAAATTCCGCCGAATTTCATACCTGCCCATGTTTTTGCCAAGATATGTCTCTGAATTCTGCTTAATATCATGCCTGCCATGTTTAGATGCAGCAATTTTAGATGCCATGTTTATGCCAACAATGAAGATATGGATCGGTGGAGGATGAAGATTAAGAGAAGTGGAGATTTGAGGATGGAGGAGAAGATGAGTGGAGGCCGGACGGTGGGTTGACGCAGATGGGATCCGTGGAGGATGAAGATATGGAAACCACCCCTTCAATCGACGTGGATTTTGGACATGTCCGGTAATCGACGGTCAGATTTGTCAATTAAGGATGAAATTGGACCGTCCGATTGCAGCGAAAATTGGATGGAATTTGCATTCAATTTGCATCCTTTTTTTATATATATAATAGATTTTCGATAACGCCATAACACACAGCGGGACTGCAAAATTTTTAGTCAGCCTCGAAAATATCCATTGAAGGATAAACAATATTTAGTCAGCCGGCCGATTATATCCCAATTTTTTTCAGGGCCTCAACCTCAAATGGCGGTAAAAAATCCCAATCACTTCTTCGGATTTGAGCCCAAAAGGTATTGAACTGAATCAAAGACTCCTCTCACGTAGGCTGTTTGATGTGTGAATTTGGGCAAGATTGTGTTTTTTAGGTTCGCTTGTTCGTCTTGTGGACTAAGATTATAGAATTATTATAGTAGGAAATCAGGGAGAAAATGAAGGTTAATGTGAGATTAAGAATGTGATAGGTTGTAATCTGTAAATATAGAAACCAATTTATCTCAACTGCTTGGTACTATGTTGATAGGGATACATATGTATTTACTGTGAGGCCTCAACACCAGAGAGTATGCCAATATCAATAAGGTACGGGTAATTGTTTATCGCACCATTGCACACTACAAATACCATCAGCAGATTGAAAGGATTATGGCATTTGATATTGAATTGGGAGAAGGCATCAGCGAGAATGATACTCTATATGATGAAAATTTTTAACAATTGTGTAAAATATTCATTTCTTTATTCTCATAACCAAGGAAAATATCAAACAAGTTATGCTGTTTATTCACAACCATATCATGCTTTCACCATGCATGCTTTAGTGCCTAAATTAATTTCACATATATGTGTTAGGACAAGGAAGCAAAAAGGTCACATAAGTGGAATAGTTTTCTTAACAGCCAAGAATTATCTGTTCAACAACTTCATTGCCAAGAGGTCTGCAAGACTGATGATTCTGAAACAAGAAACCATATAAGTGCCTGCGATAATGTGGTCGGTGAGACTGGTGATTTATATAGAGAGAAGCCACTTCCTGACATTCATACAAAAAATCTTCTTGAGAAAGAGACGTCAACTGTCATACAATCAAAACCCAGGGAGGTGAAGACATGGACTGACATTAGATCATCTCTTTCTGCTATTGAAACTATGATGGCATTTCGTGTGAAGAACAAAAACTATGTGAAAGACATGAAGTTAGCATCTTCTCATGATCAACTTCTGCCAATTGGGGAGTCAAAACCTCTGAGGGAAGAATATGAGGACAAGAATGATGAAAGCAATAGTGTGATATTGGATGACAGTTCAAGGTCAGCTGCTAAAGGATGTACTCCAGGTGATAGAGGTCAAGTAGAACCTTCTATGCCTTGGAAGGATGAACTTGAGCAACTTGTTCATAGAGGAGTACGTACTAAGAGATCTCCGGGGAGATGTGCTTTTGTCATTTTGTGACAAGTCTATAGTTATAAGGGTTTTTATAAAATTTATCTCTAACATTAAGATGGTATGAAACAATTTAGGTTTGGCAAGCCTTTGTGGGTGTCAAGGCACGCCGGGTTGAGAGATATTACCAGGACTTGACCATCACTGAAAATGATGTTGGTCCTTGCCCGAAGAATGACACACCATTGATAGACAACAATAGCAAGGGATCCAATAGCTGATGTGTTAGAAAAATGTAGGTAGCAGATTGAGAAGGTCGTTAGATGCATGAGCCCTGGAATTTATCGTACAATCTTTTTAATTTGTAGGTGATACTTCTTTTTAGGATCCATGGTGGTCATTAAAGAATGCTACTCATTGCTTTGCAATTTGCATTATCGTGCTTTACAATTATATGCTTCCAATGTTCTAATATTCCAAAATGGTCAGTTATCCCAATGGAGGTGGTTTTACTCAGTTGCATTAAAAGAGTGAGGCTAGTTTGTACACACTCACTGTCAAGTGGTCAAGAAACCCTTCTGTTTCATTATTAGCATCTGTTCCATGTCTCGCAGGTCTATTATATGCATAATGCAAGTTTTCATTGCCTGATCTTCTACCCTTTTCTTTCGTTAATGTAGGATCTGCCTCGGACTTTTCCCGGACATCCTGCATTGAATGAGAATGGACGAAATTCCCTAAGGCGCTTACTTCTGGCCCGACACAACCCATCAGTTGGGTATTGCCAGGTAATTTTTAGCTTAGTTTTTCAATTCAAACTCTGCAGGATTTTTTTGGATTTTTAAAAGTCAGTGGGTATTCAATCGGAATTTTACAAAATCATTTAAAATCTAGAGGTATTCAATTGAGACTTTAAAAAGTCTTTCTAAATCTAATGGTATTGAAAAATTGATGGATTTTTAAGGATTGTTATATAAAATGGATTGTGATGGATTTTTAGCTTGAAGTATAAATAAAAAAGTCTTTTGCAAATCCAACCAAACCCTAGTGGATTTGTTATACCCGAGCCTAGCCCCATGAAACTCTCACTCACGCCTTACACTATCATAAGAACCAAAGAACTTATATTCAAATATTATGATCCATTTTAGTTGAATTCAAATGGTCCTTAAACCCGAAAGGCCAAAACAACCTCCGTTTGACCCGAGGGTTCTGTGGTTTACTCCCATTTCAGTCCAAACCATCCCAAAACATCCAAAAACACTTTATACTTCCCTTTTTATACAAATAAAGTCTTCCCCCACTCATTTCAAAGCCCTTGGCCAAAAATGAGAGAAAATAAAAGCTAAAACCTTTGTTTGTTTCTTTTAAAGTCCTTTTAACCAAATAATGTCTTTCCTCTTTATTTCCTACAACTAGGGACGAAAATCCCTTCCATTTTATCCATAAATCAGGCCCCTTTCCAACTATTAACAAATAGAAATCACCTTTCTCACAATTAGGATAGAAGTCATAAAGTTGAATAGTGAAAATTTGTCCTTTTGTTGACTTATTTCACATCCTTGCACCCATGATCTTTCCTTGTCATTTCTTACCATATAGGGCCAAAATTCCTTACACAAAAATCAGGGAATATCTCCTCTTAAACCCCACAGTTCCCCACCTTTGACCATTGTACTAAAGGCCGAACAACACCCCAGAATAAGCTAAAGGAAATCTTCTTCCTAAGTCGTGAATTCACTCCACTAAAAGAAGATAATAAATAAGACATTGTTCCTGATTTTTGAGAGTGAAATATAGGAAGCTTCATTGTGTATTTCCCTTCCCTTTGCTATGTATATATACGGCCCTATGGCCTTTGTAATCACCATCTTATGTTTGAATAAGAAAAAACCTTTGTTTACTCTTTGAATAGCAATTTAAAATAGTGTGATACTATTTTAGCCCAAATTCCTAATTCTATATCTTAAGAGTGGTTCTCTTAAGTGTGAGTTTTAGGTTCTAGTTATTTAATTGAGTGTGTAATATCTTGATTAAATACTAGAGTTTAACCCCAAGTTAATCTAGAGGTGAGTTTACCCTTTAGTATTAATTTGGCTCCAAATTAAGATAAGAGTGTGTTTATCTCTTATTCCTAATTTGGAATTTATCCCATCATTTCTAAATCCACCTTTCTCTCCTGATTTTCCACTCTTCTTCATAATACTTAAAACCCAAAAAGAACTCCTGCCACATCTCCATAATTTCGTCCAACCCATTTCCCTTCAATATTCCACAATTCCATCTCTAAAAAAAGCAACTTGATCATACCCCGGGTCTCGGGTATAACAGGATTTTCAAGAGTCCAACCAAACCCCCATTCTCCGCCAATCTTCTTCTCATTCGGCAGTGGATTTTCTCGGCCAATCTTCTTCTCCCTCCGTCAATCTTCTTCTCCTTCTTCCCCAAGAACTCATCTTCTCAACAAAGGGTTGTCTTCTTCATATTGGCTAGGGTTTTGCTCGGGCATCCTGATTCGCGGAATTGGATCTGGCGGAACTGGATCTGGCATCCCGTTTGATGAGCGGTTTCTCGAATTGGATCTGTTCCCGATGACGCAGCATCGATGTGGCAGAGCAAACGGAAGTCATTCTTCGGATTCTCGCTTTGAATACTTCCCCGGCGGCGACTCATCCTTCCCCGGCGGCGACTCATCCTTCCCCAGCGGCGACTCATCCTTCCCCGATGCTCTCCCCGGCAGTGTTTCATCCTTCCCCAGTGGCGACTCATTCTTGAAAGATGGAAGAAGCGGCTACTCCGGCTAGGGTTCTTGGGGGAAGGAGGAAAAAAAGGAAAGAAAAGAAAAAGAAAAAAAGAAAAACATAATCCTATAAAATCTTATGATAGATTACGGGGGTGTATTGAACTTAGACTTTAAAGAATTTTTTTGGATTATAAAATTCTATGGGTATTCAATTCAGATTTTAAAAAGTCTTTTAAAATCGAAGTGTATTCAATTCAGATTTTAAAAAATCATTTAAAATCTAAATGTATTGAATTTGGATTTAAAAAATTCTATCTAAATCTAAAGATATTCAACACTTCATGAATTTTTAAAGATTTGTATTCTACATGGATTTTAATGGATTTGAAGGTAAAAATTATAAGTATTAAAAAGTCTATAAAAAAATCTCTACTCCCAGCTAAAGATTTTAAGAATCCTAAGTCCAATCCTCTCCTCTCTTTCGTGGGCATCACATCTCAAGATCGTCGATCGTCACTGATGGTGACGGCGGCGGCGCTGTTGGTGTCCGGCGGCGGAGCTGCAGGAGGAGGAGGTGGCAGCAGCTGGTCTAGGAAGTGACGCAGATCGTACGCAAGGGCCTCTCTGGATTCGCACAAGAGCTGTAGAGTTGGGCAGAGGAACGAAAATCAGAAGTGAGAAAGCGATGATGGTGAGATAACGATCAAGGGCTGGATTCTATCCTCATCTCATGTCTGTCCGTCCCTTGGCGAGCGTAAAGAAGTTGATGTTTGGAATTCTACAAATTTTTTAACTCTACATGAATTCTACAAATTTTTTAAATTCTACATGGATTCTATAAAAAATCAATCAAACTCTACATGAATTTTACAAATTTTTCAAATCCACTAACTTTTTGAAATCTAATAAAATCCTAATTGAATACCCCTCCTAGAATCTAGCTAACTCTATGTAAATTTAAAACAATCCAATGAATTTACATAATCCATGAATTTTAAAAAATCTATCAAAATCGTTTAAAATCCAAATTGAATACACCCCCTTAGTTGTATCTCAAATCAAACCTCATCTGAGTTCCTTTCATTTCCATGAGTTTTAGTAAATGGTGCAACTGTTGATTTTTTAAGTAAATAAATGAAAGGCACATTTGTTAATTTTTCGTATTATTGTGAAGCATATCACATGCAGGCAATGAATTTTTTTGCCGATTTGTTGCTACTCATGATGCCAGAGGAAAATGCCTTCTCGTAAGCTTTTAAGTGACGTGCTCAATGCTAAAGTTTTGTTTAGCATGAATATGGTGGGGTAAAGTTCACTAATGTTACATAACTTTTAGCTCTATTTCACTTCGTTGCATAAACTTTAATTCTTATCGCAAAAGTGTACCAACTTTCAGCATTCTTTCACCAATGGTCTATTAGCCGCTTTCCAGGTCCCGTATAGGCCATTTTGGACCAAATTGCAATATATACATTTCTAATGTTTCAATTTGACCCCATTTTCCTTTTCTTCTTCTCAGCAGACTCTTTCCCTTTCTTCTTCTTTAGCACCCCCCTATCCCTGTAATTTAAAAATAAAAATGAAAATAAAAGGTCAAACTAAAGACACTGTGCACTTGCCAAAGAACTGAACTTTGTTTGTCTTCTTTTGTTAATTCTTGATTTCTTTGATTACCAACCATTCAAGAACTTCAATTTCTAGTCATGGGTGAGCAAACCTGTTTCCCAATGATGAAATTGCATTGCCAAAAAGAATCCGAAATCCGGGAAGTGATCTGTTCAGTTCCGGCTGGGAAATTTTTAGTTGATCCATATGATCCGCGTTCTGGTTGGTGTTGAGCTCAATGGTCTCGTCTCCAGGCGGTGTGCAGGCGGTGTGCAACGCTGGAGGAGGTGGAGCCAACAGTTCGGTCAGAAATCAGGCGTTTGTGTTCAAAGAGCAGCTGATTGGCAGGCTGGGAAGCTACAACACTCCTCCAGCGAGATTTCTCTGGCTGGCTGCACTTGCACCTCTGGTTATCATTCCTCTCATAAGATGAATCCCTCATTGATGGCAGATAATCAAATCAGGGGTGATGCTTTCCTCGTTCACCCTGAAATCTCGCAGCACTTCTTTCTGGATCCCGATTTGCTCCGATGGTTTCTTGTTTTTCCGGATGGGTTCCAGCAATCAGCCAATCAAGAAATACAAGTCCGAGAGCTCGGAATTGGGAAATTCCCAGGAGAACTCCAGCCTCAAAGCATATTCTCAAGCATATTCTGGCCGAGGAAATCTGCAAAAAATGAAGCAAATCCAAGAAAGAGTAAAGCAAGGGGGTCGGGTGTGAACAAGAAAAGGAAAGGGTGGTTAAATTGAAAAATTAGAAATGCATAAATTATATTGTAATTTGGCTCAAAGTGAGGTGACCTGGATTCCGGCTAATTGACCATTGGTTAAGAAATGCTGAAAGTTGGTGTATTTTTGCAATAGGAATTAAAGTCTATGTACCGAAGTGAAATAATTATGAAAGTTCGTGTATCATTGATGAAATTTACACAAATATGATGTCATATTTATAAAAAGAGAAAATTATCTTGAATTTGGGCATAATTACAATCTTATTTGGTTCAGCATGCATAGAGTATTATATTTATATGGAGTGAAGCATCTTTTGTATGAAAGCACAATAATCAAATATTTATACAACAATTCTCTATGGTTTGTGATACATTATTCTACACACGAATTGAATGGCAAAACAAAAATCATTACACATGCACACGAGGGGAAATATTTACTAAAATCAGCTATTTAATTTCAATGGCAACCCTATAAAATTAGCTATTTGATTTCAATGAGGCCTTTTTGGGAAGCACTCAAGGGACAGCCCGTCACTTTAACCAGCCTACCTAAATGTGGTGTGTGATGGCGTCTTCCATCTTTCCTTTTGTATGATAGAGTTCAAATGCTTGAAATCATCTTTTCACATTTTCCTTTGGTCCGCAATGTTGAACTTCAATAGCGTCCTCATTTAATTTTGGTTCTTTCTAAAACTGCACCAGACTCCTATATTGATATGCTCCAGCTATGTTTGGAACATGTTTGTAACACCTAAAATGGTAGGTAAAAGGAAAAATGCGTTAGGAAAATATAGAGGAAAACCGATATTGATTAAAACTTTTACAGTTTTACATGGAGTTAGATATTTTACAGGTGTTCCATTTAACCATTGTTAAATCTTTCAGGGCCTTTGTGGGCATTATGGATGACTATTTTGATGGATGTTTCTCACAAGAAATGATCTGAGTCTCAGGCTTGCTTACCATTTTTACTCATTATGACTCTACAACTTGCACTGGTTACATCGGTAATTTCTTCCATTTTCAGGTTGACCAACTTGTTTATGAAGAGTTGATGCGTCAGAGGTTTCCTAAACTGGGTCCGTACATTGTTTTATAGATGAATGCTTGATTCTTGCTATATAGGTGATTACTAGGTTCTTAATAAATTAATTTGCTGCGGTAAATCATCTATCTGCACCTTGGTTTCTTTCAATTTTTGTAAATATGCTTCCATGGGAAAGTGGTGAATGATATTCTGCAATAAGGGAACTTTAATTTGATTTTTGTAAATAGCATGGCAAGCTATTCATTCTTTTTCATTCTACAAGTTATTATAATAGGAAGCAATAAATATTATTCGTCTCACAAAATATTCTCATTGTTGACTTTTAAAGAATTTAAGGAGAGTGTATTTTGGTGTTGACTTTCCAAAAATGCTTTTGGATGTGACGGGTAGATTAATAGTAAAAAAGTGTGATATGATAGGTAGGTTAAGATATAATAGGGGTAAAGAAACTTTTTAATAGAAATGAGAGATTTTTTGTGCAGATGAAAAAAAAAAGGAGAAAGGTTTTGCGGGACGAAGAGAGTAATAACTATCATGATGGGATAATACTCTTCAGTCCCATAAGATATTGATACGACTATATTTTAAAATGAATACAATTTTATTACATTTATATTATAACTAAATACACTTTTTTTACAATCTATCAAGTCTGCAGTCTTTTTCGGACAAAAGTATTAACCTGGTTAACGTAAATATTAAAAAAGTTTCAAACATTTCAAACTTTAGTTCATAATAAAAATATTCATAACACGAACAGTAACAGAGTATCAATTTCATGGAAGCTTTGGTAAACAGTTTCACATCATACTCACAAAATATTTTTCATGATTTAAATATTTATTTGATCAGTTCTGAATAGTTCTGAATCATCACAATCTATCTTGTCAAATCATTCTTTCTTTCTTGTGTGTCGCAAATAATTAAAATATATTATACGCTCAATGGTGAAACTGAGTAAGGATATTTAATGCATCGAACATCCACATGAATTGAATCTCAATTAATAACCAAATCATTTGATATCATGCACATAATATTCAGTTCAGATATCCAATGTTCATAATACTCAACAGTGCTCTAAAACTATTTTTAGTCTAAAGTCAAATCAGAACAACGCTCTTAAACTATTCTTAGTTTAAGACAAAATTCATAATGTTTACCAAATCATAAACTATTCTTAATTTAAGATAAAATTCATAATGTTTACCAACTCTTAAACTATTCTTAATTTAAGGTACATACTACATACATATGAATCAATGACATATCTTATGAGTCTTATAGGTCACGCTCAAAACTGAATAATAGACTGCTCAATGTAGGGTTAGATGGTATCCTCAAACGAGTGATCCTCTAGTTTGGTTTGTGGATCCCGTACATACATTTTTACCCAGACCACCAGACATTATAGCCGCAAGGCTCATTCTAAGTAAGTCACGCGGGCTCTATCTTAGAGTTCTTCTAGATACCGTAATATTCAACATCATTTTTATAATAATCATTTTAATCAGGATATTCATTCATTTATATCATGCGTAAATCATAATAATCAATAAACCTAGCAAAAAATGATCCGACCTGTTTTTTATATAAGGCCTGACTCAAAAATACTGAGTTTTAAAGTAAGTTTTTGCTGACTGAACCCCAAATGACCTGCTAAAAATGGGTCAAGCCCGACCAAACTCAAACTCGATCTGACCGGCCCGCTAATGTAAGAATATTTCAAAATCATATACTTTAATATGAAATACTACTCATTTTTTGTATCATAAATTTTTATTTTCGTACAAAATTTTAATGATATCGCATATTATCTAACATTTGTTTTTCAAAATTTTTATATATTTAATTTTTTTAATTATAATATGGACACTAATCATAAAAATTACTTAAATTTTAAAAAAATAAATAAACGAAACTCGTAACCTGTTGAATCGATCCGAACCCGATGACACTTGGTCATGAACATGTAGTTTTCAACTCGAACCTAAAGTAATCCAAACCTAAGGTGACCAAACCCGAACCCGATCTGACCAACCAATTTTCCAGCTCTAATAATCAACAATCTATTAATTATTCATGACAAACATCGGTCTGGGCAAGACATTTGAAAACATTGAAATCTATTATTCTTGACAGAACTGCATAATAGCCACCGTCGGATGCAGTGGTTGTTGGTTGAGATAATCCAAGAGTTGATCCACATATGAGCTCCATAATATGCAAGACATTTTCTCACCACTAAATGTAGAGGTAAGTATTAATAAAATAAAAATATTGTGCAAGGTAAATCAATTTAAAAAATCAGTATGAGGTGTACTCTAAATCTTCGAAGACTTGTTTTTTCAAAGGATAATATTGTGTTAAATTGAATGATAGACACTTAACAAACATGAGTCGATACTAAATATCTTTGGCTGCATTGAGGGCTTTAAAATTTCCAAACTTGAACATTATGTCAGGGAAATCTTCATCGTTGACATGTGTTATCATTGTGTCTTTAACAAATGACAGTTTGTATCGATGGTCAGTCAAATTTTGAGTATTCTTTGGCACAATGAGATTCTCTATTCCATGCACTTGTCTCTCTTTTAATAGAGGCTTGAAGTCTGGGATCAAATGTTTTTCACAACATGCATGAATACGATTTCCCTACATATTAGAAACGATATTAAGTATTGCATACATGAAATTCAAAGAATAAAAATATGTTGGTTTCTGTACATATTATAAACGATATTAAGAATTGCACGCATGAAATTCAAAGTATAAAAACATGTGGATTTTAGTTGAAACATAAAACCTGTTCATCTTGGAAAATAGCTTCGTGTGCATAGATTGTGCTCGGTGTAGTCGTCCTCGTCTTACGATCGTAGCTTCGTAGGAGTCTTAGTTTCACAGCATCCTAATGCCTCGCTGGGTGCAGCCTCTTGAGAGGGACCCAATGGGGAGACATCTCGTTTTACTGGAAATTGTGAATATACTCAGAATAAAGATGATGAACTATATATACTGTTGCAGTGATGCCTTAATGTAACCGCCATGTTCTTCAAAAAATCAATCTCCGGCAGTTTCACAATCATCGTGGGAAGTATGTTTTGCAGTTTGTGGAGTCGTAGGTGGGAGATTGCGCAGGGTGGGTTTAGGTTTTTTTACGCACATTGTATTGCCACGTAGTTAAAATTGGGCCGTAGATATGTTTCAATGTCATTAAAATTGGACCACTGATTTTGGATTTTGGCGGGTAAATTAGGCAATGGATTTTGATTCGATTTTTATATATATAATAGATTATTAATTATAATTTAATATGCCGCTTTTTTATATTTTCAATCATTTTAATCAACAAAATATAAACTTTACTTCGTAAAATGTAACTAGTAAATAAGAATATATTATTTATTCTTTATTTTTCAAAAAAAAAAGAGTACTCCGTATTACCTTATAACTTAAGTGTGTGTTAGACACTCATTGTTAATTTTTATAATAATAAAAGTAATTGAATAAAATAGAAATTGTGAAATAATATATGGGTTATCTAATTAAAACTAGATGGAGAAGTAAAAATACAAGCAAAATACTTTTTTTAAACTAAAAATATCTAATGCTATACTTCCTCTGTCCTTAATGTTCTTTGCGGTTCATTTTACGAGGTTTGATCAATTATATTTTCAATTCAATTCTGTAAAACAAGTGGTGACAAGATTATATTATTTTCTCAAATATCTAATGAAAATAGGTAAAGAAAGTGATTAAAGTTTGACCATATAAAAAGTGAGTGGAAAGAACATTAATATTTTAATTCTAGTTTGACCGGGTTGACGTCCGGTCCGGTTTTCAGAACATTAATATATATATAGAAATCATCCTAAATAGGATTAAAACATAGAGAAAAGTACCAAAATAGGACTTTCATGTTTTTTTCCCGGAATAGGACTTTGCACTGTGGTAATGTGACTTTGCATTGTGGTAATGTGGCGGTGTACATGTGCAAATTACTATACTTTTTTGGTAATGTATATGACCATGTTTGGTAATGTAAGTCCTATTTTGGGAATAAAAACATGAAAGTGATATTTTGGTATATTTTCAATGTTTTAATGCTACTTTGGTCTTTTTTTCTAATATATATAAGCCATGGATCAGGATAGGATGGGTTCTTTCTTTCTCCGAACTCAACCGATAGGGCCTAGGGCTCAGTTTGCAGTCGGAAGGTTCATGAAACCGAGGAGGAGCTTGTGGGCGCAGATAATTCGTCCAGCCCGTCCCAAGATCTATGTCAAATCTAATCTAAACAATTGGGTTAAGGATGTGAAGAAAAAGGCTCCGGCCGGCGACCTCCAGAGGATCCTGCTCAAACTTCGCAATGACCGACGCTTCTTTGAAGCGCTACAGGTATCTTTTACCTTATTATTTACCCCCCATCAACGTTATTCAACTTTTATACTACTCGTATATCAAGATGTTGATAGCTTTTATTTGTGGTTCTCAAATTAAATGACCCTACAATAATTATAGATTCAAACTTTATTTATTTACTTATTTACTTATTTTCATTAGTTATTTGATAAATTTGTATTATATATATATGTGTGTGTGTAGATTTTGGTTCTGGTGAGAATGCAATTTTAGGAGAGAAATGAGAATGAATCTGGTGCTTTAGATTTTGAGATCTAAGGGTTAAGATTTCATCAAAATTAGATGCACCAAAACGGTGCAAAAATGCATCACGTCGAAATGCACCATAAACCTTCGAAAATGCACTATCTCAAAAGATGAGCGCAGGATGCAATCTGAGCCGCACGATGCATCAGATCCGACGGCTAGATTTTATTCTCATTTCTCTCCACAAGGTGCATTCTCACGGGAACCGGCCCATATATATATATATATGTATGTATGTATGTATGTATGTATGTATGTATGTATGTATGTATGTATATATGTATGTATGTATATATATATGTGTGTGTGTGTGTGTGTGTGTATATATATATATATTTGTTTATTTATTTATTAGAAGGAAAAGGAAAAGTACAAGGGGGGTTGGCCGACCCCAACATAAAAGCCTGCAGAAAACACCAAGAAGACAACAATCCAAATACAAAAGATCAAAGCAAAAGAATAAATACGAAAGCCACTAGGAAATGGAAAAAGAAAAACCAACAATTCCAAAAATCCAGCTTGTGATGGCTGGTTCGTCTTGGATCAGCACTCAAATACAGGATCGTAACTTCAATCCCAGTCAAGCATAACTTGACAGAGGTTGTGCCAATATTCTGCCTGACAGTCTGCACATGCACCTGCGGCAACTCCAATGTTTCAAATTCCTCTTATTTTCAATATATTTGAACCTAATATGTTGCTTCCCCAGCTTGACACCAACCATTGTAAGGTCATAAACAGCAGGAAAATAAGAACCTGGAATCACATCTGCCCTAGGAGAGTATAACCCTTGCAGCATTTCTAACTTCTAAGATAAGATTAAGTACAACCCAAGAAAATGGTCTAGGTCCCCATGGAACTTCTAGTATAGAACAATAGAGCAAAAAACCCGAGTATACCTCCCTTTCATTCGTAGTCGATAAGATGTTCCCACAATGGCGTAATGATCGGATCGTCAATGTTGGCGCAGGCTAGGAGAACCGGATGCCGCGTACCTTTCAGCTTAATAGCTCTTATGCATTGCACACTCTTCATAGCCTCCCTTGTCGCTTTTAAAGCCTTCCCCTGAAGTGTTGAAACAAGCCCCTTTTGGATCTTATCCTTGATGAAGGGCGAGCGTAAAGCTTCCTTGATCATCCAAAGGGTGTTCTCAAAGTCATCGCTAATATGCTGTTCAAAAATGGGCTTAAGCAACTCATACTGTTTTTGAAAGTCTCCTCCTGCCTCTTCTTCCACTTTGTCATCTATTAACATGAGATCCAGCTCCGGTTGAATGGAGTCCTCCCAACTTGAAGCTTCCACTTCTGTAGTGTGGTTAAGCAGGCAATCGATTAGCATTTGCTCTTCGTTGCTTAGTGGCTTCAAAGCTAACATACTATCTGGCTCTACACTCGGCTGTAGAGGAGTATTCCTGTCTTCACTGTTCACTGGGTTGTTTAATCCCTCTGCCAACTGAGGGGAAAAAGCCCCATAAGGACATAGATCATTCGGGGTTTCAGCAGCGGCGTCCGCCTGAGGAAGAGGTCCCAAGACATCTCTGCATATCTTTCCATGTCCTGAAGAGGAGTCAGCAACTAAATCCTGCACTGCGTTAGGGGAGGCCACTGGAATAGAAGTGTTTCCTACTGATTTAGAACCAATGGAAGCATCAAGGGCCTCAAAAAAACACACCAAACCCCCTCTGTCCGTAGGAACAAAGATGGAAGTTTTCCCTTCCCTTCTAGATTCAAGAATCCTGATATAGCCTCCCCAACTATTACATCCATAATAAATGGTAATTTTACGATGCTTTTCAAACCGGGTGATAGCCCATGGGTTTCTCTGATTCAGTTTGGGGAAAAGTTCAAGAATCCAAATTAACCCATGTATATCAAACCATATATTGTAAATCCTCTTGCCACTTTCACTGATACAGAAATTCTTGTTGTAGCTAGAGTGAAAGAGTGTAAAAACCTTGGTTTGAATTCGAAAGGAATGAGATTTATTCAGACTTTCGCACCTTGGGACATGGGGAGAATCGTACCCTCTTCGAGTCTTTGTAGATTTCCAGTTGCTGCGATCCCTCCTTCTTCCCCATGCCTAAACCTCCACAAATCCATCTCTTCGATCAAAATATCTCCGTCGATTGATATATATATATATATATATATATATATATATATATATATATATATATATATATATATATATATATATATATATATATAATTTCATCACTTATTTACTAAATCTTTTGATATAATTTTTAAATATATAGATTTTATTTTTTAATTAATTCCAAATTATTTTGTAAATTGATTGGAAAATAACTTAAATAATTTAAGGAATTAAACCTGAATAGGTCATTTTATATGGGACAAAAAACTATATTGATTAAAAATAGGAAAATCCTAGGGGTACCCCACTCGGTGGACATCAGGTATACATCAAGTCAAAAACAGATACTCAAGGGTTATTAAGTGTGTGTATTTCTTTTTTCCTAGGTGGGGTACCTCTAGAAAAACTCTTACACTATGTTTGGTTCAAGGAATTTTGAAGGAAAAGAAAAGAAAATGGTTTTCCCTCATTTTCCTCACCAAAATGGGAGGAATTTGGTTTTTCCTCTACTTGGTACATTTTGCCTTCTCATTCTCTTTTCCTCCTACTTTTCCTTTCTAACCAAACAAGAAAACTTGTTTTCCACTTCATTTTCTTTTCTTTTCTCTTTTGAATTCCTTAAACCAAACATAGTGTTAAAGATATGGAAGAAAATGTAGAGGGGTACACCAAATGTTGTACTCTTTTCTCATCATATATTTCTTATCCATTCATTTAGCTTTGTTATCAACACTAAGATTATATGGTGGAGAAAAATTAGAGTACGATTGGAGCATACGTTTAGGTGTATTCCTAGCATATTTGACCCTCAAAATAGTCCTTTATAACTAGAATTTTTTTATATTTAGTCCATATTTATCAAATATTTTGTTGACATTCCTTATTAATTGGATATCATTTCACGTCTGGTCCTCCGTCTATTTTTCCGCCTCTGTGCAGTTAGACAAGGACTAAACATGGAAAGGTACCTAATCAATAAGGATTGCAAACATAATATTTGATATATTTGGACTAAATATGAAAAATCTCAGTTATAAAAGACTATTTAGAGAATTTATTATTTTAAACTAATTTTAATATTGAAGTTAATAAATAAGAAAAATGTATGATTGTAGTTTATTCATAAAGAGTCAAAATTTGTACACCAAAAAGAATAGTTTACCAAAAATTTCATTTTTTTAATACAAGAATTAGTTTGGAACTAATAGAAATTAAAAAGAAATAAAGAGTCACCTCAAATCAAAGTAAAACATAGCATTTATCATCAAAATAGAGTTCCATATTTATTTCTTCAAAATAGGAGTTTGTATTGTAACATTATGACACTAACTGGCATCTCACCATATTTTTTGGGTACTATTTTGACACAATTAGCATTGTATTCTATTTTAGACATAAAGATATGAAACTCCTATTTTGATATTCTCTTGATTCTTTTTTGAAGAATCACGTTTTATTTCCAGTTTAGTTTCTAATTTTCCAAAAGAAATTAAAAGTAATCAATTTGTTTTAACGACAACAATCCATTTTTCGTATTTTTTTATGGTGTGCAAATCTTGAGTTTTTATGAATAAACTACAAACCACACTTTTCTTATTTGTTAACTTTTATATAAAAGTGGTTTTAAAAGAGTAAATTCCCAAAATAGTTCTTAATAATTTAGGGTGTTCATATTTATCAAATATTATGTTCGCGGTCCTTATTAATTGCGTACCATTCCACATTTAGTCCTTGTCTAATGTCATGGAGAATGAAAAATAGACGGAGAACGTTACCTAATAAATAAGGACTGTCAACATAGCATTTGATAAATGTGGACTAAATATTAAAACTTCCTAATTGTAAAGGACTATTTAGAGAATTTACTCAAAAAAATACTTCATACTTGTAAATACATGGATCCCATTTTGATGTGGAGCCTACCTATACACACGTATCAAATGGAAGAAAAAAAAGAACACAGGGAAGGTAAAAGAAAGAAAAAATGGGGTCAAAGTAATAAAACTTAAACTTAGAATAGGGTTAAGTACTCCGTAGATCTTTAATCTTCGTAATATTGATAGATTTCCTTTTTGGTCCTTGTAATTTCATTGCTATTGCTACAAAATGTTTTTATTTTAAAAATGGTTCTTAAGCATAATTTGCACTTAGAGTTTGATGAGACAATACATTTATTTTATACTAAAAGCTTGTTTTTTATGGCTTAAACTCTTTAACTTCCAGTTTCTTCCATTTCTTTCCAGTTTCTTCCAACCTATTCTCGTTTTCTTCAAACTCGTTCTACTCTCCAACCAATTACACTAAAAACAATATATTTTTCATGTGATTATTATTATTATCATTATTATAATTGTTATGTTCATAGTTATGGTTTATAAATTATTTTTTTCATCTCACTATTTTTATGGGGGTTCACACTCATTAATTTTTCTTCAACTTTTTAATATCAACAAGACATTTTTTTGTATATTAATCTACATGATAAAATAGGAAAACATCAATATTTTAAACTATATCTAAAAATTATGAATAAAATAGTTACATAGATTGTTTTATTAATCTAACTTTATATAAGACCTCTCCCCTTTCCCTTTATTACTCAAATTTTTCTTATTTTTCTAATTTTGATAAGAAAACTAAAATTCAAAAAATAGTTTAGAGAAAAATAAAAACTAGGATTAAAACATAAAAAATGTGAAAAAAAGTTTTATGTCTTTATTCCAAACATAGGAGTTACAATGAAAATAAAATGTCAATCATTAAAAAAAATAAGTTTGTTTACATTATGTGACATGTCTGATATTTAAAATAAAATCTTACAATATATAAAGTATAATTACAAATATATTATATATAATAAATACTGCATAAATAAATTGAGGTGCAACGTAACCACAATAACTTTTTAAAATTTAACATTGTGATATTTATGTTAAATTTATATTATAATTATTTTTTGCAAAAGTAGTTTTTTTTGTGTTTGAAAAATAACAATACTTTTTTTTCCTAAAGACATTCATTAAGATAATGTGATGATGATGATGATGATGATAATAATAATTTATAACAACAAGAATTAGAATGAGAATAATATAAAAACACACAAATATATTATTTTTAAGTTTTTTAGGTTTTCCAATTTTTTGAAATTTTTTCAATTTCTTTCAGTTTCTTTCACTTGCTTCCAGTTTCTTCCTATTTTTTCTAGTTTCTTTCAACATTCAGCTCTTTTTTTTCCATTCTAAAGAACATGCTCTACATATTCTAGTCTTGTATTTTAACTATCTCAGATACAATTCTCATACCTTAAAGTGTATCTTTATTTATATTACATCACCAAATCCCAAATAATTTGGGAATATCGTATAAAATTGGAGATGTAAATCGATGAAGGATTAAAATTTGTGACATGAAAATTGTGTCTGCTATATTTAGAAAAACAGTATTAGGATGTTGAGTACAAAATAAATATGTTACATCAACTAAATAGATGTGTTAACTATGTTTAAGGACCATTTTTAAAAGAATATTTTTTTGTATTCATGACTTAACAAAAAAATTACAAGAACCAAAAACAAAGATCGCCTATCTTACGGGACTAGGAACAAGTTTAATCCTTTACAGTATTATAATTTGGCTCTACGGAAATTGGTGTATTTTTGAAATTAGAATATTGGTGCAAAGGAAAGAATAATGATATAAACATAAAAAAATATTCCATAATATAGAAAAATGTGCAAAGCAAACAAGTTATAGATTACTTCCCTCCTTTGAGCGCACTTGTGAGCTTCGACTTGGCTTTCTAGTGTACATTTTACATTCCATATGACTTTCAAATTAATTTCTAACTTCTCCTATAGTGATAAACTTTGTGTTTGAACACATATAATCAAGTTTTAATTTTTTAAAAAAATTATATTTTATTTAATACAGTATAATTTTTTTTAAATTTACAAAATATTTTAAGCCAAACTAGCGACCACTTTTTAAACATTTGTCTTTATTGTAATTAGAAGAGCAAAGTTTCTTATTTATTTAAACTTTAAAATATTTACAATCTTTTGAAATTAGAATTTTAATAGATTAATAAACACGAAGTTGCAGGAATGCCTCTTCTAAAAACTACTTAGATAACTAATAAAAACTCATAACACTTATCAATGATACTCTATAATAATTATGATGATAGTCATAGTAGTAGTAATAATAAAAATAATAATATGTGTTTTTTTAAATTTTAAAAAATTCCTAATAAATCTTTTAAAATATATTATAGACAATTATTAAAATGTTATTGCCACTTATGTTTATATTATGTAATATCTTGTAAATTATAAAATTTTTAAAATACTAAAATTAAAATAAAAATCTTATAGTAAGCATCAGGTTGAAATATACTCCGTAAAATGTACTTTCATTACAAGAAAAACATTAAATTGTATAAATAAAATAAATTTTAATTTTTTTTAAAAAAATTGACTTTATACGTGTCAAATACAAAGTTAATAAAATATTAGATAAATTACAAGTTAACTTGGAAGTCATATGGAATGCCACATGTACACAAGAAAGCTAAGTAGAACGCTACATCTGTACTCACAGGCCGGATATGGATACCTTTTTGTTAATTTTTTAAAAAATGGGGTACCGTTTTGTTACGAACTGAAGATGAGGTACTTTTTGTTAGATTGCGCAAAGTTCAGGTTCTTTCTATGTAAAAAAACCGTTATTCCTCACACTTTTCCTTCTCTTTTTAAATGGGGAGCCTCACATAACATAAATTTAGTTTTTCTATATAATTTTTACGAGACAATTCATGTGACATTCACTTTGAATGGCATAGCATGTCTCGAGCCTCTTGCGGGACTCTGTTGGTAAATTGATGTTTCCAACCTCCTAAGCCCTGCCCCCACCCCCCCCCCCCCAGATTTCACCGATTTTTTAGAGTGACCACTGTAGCAAATCAACGAAATGAGGGGGAGGGGGGGTGTTGGGGTTAGGGGTAGGAACTATAAATTTACCAACGGATCCTCGCATGAGGTTTGGGTCATGTTATGACATTGATATCAATGACACGTGAATCAGCCCGTAATTTTTAATATAATGAATCAAGATAATTTATTTAAAAAAAATAAAAATTATTTAGTTTTAATAACAACATGTACTCGTATATCACAAAAGTTGCTCCTAAATCAGAAGTATTTTGCAAAGTTATCAGAAGTATACAAAATGATACTTAATCTAAATCGCTGTGTTTGATTCAATGGAAAGATATAAGCGGTGCATTTCTGATAGTGTTTTGCTTTTGGGTGCCGGTTGCAGGTCTGTGAATGGATGAGAAAGAAGGGAATTTATAAATTCTCATCTAGTGACTATGTTGTCCACTTCAGCTTGATATTTAAGGTTCGTGGAAGTTGTGCTGCGGAGCGCTATGCCAAGAACTTGCCAAAACAAGCTAGAAATGACAAGACATACGGAGAAGTCATTGGTTGTTATGTGCATGAACACAGTCAAAGAGCAGGCATATGGTTAAGTCCTTTATTGCATCTTCAAAGGATGAAAGAGTTGGGTTTTGCATTGTCACCTCGCCCCTTCAATGAAATCATGCGCATTCAGGGCAAACCTAAGGAGGTCCTTGAGGGGTGGGCGGAGATGAAGAAGAGCGGGGTTTCACCCGATAATGATAGTTACAGAATCCGCATTAGTTCATTTGGGTTAAACTATGATGTGGATGGGATGGAGAGAATGCTGAGAGAAATGGAGAGTCAACCCCACATTGTCATGGACTGGTGTACTTACGCCGTGGTAGCCGAGTTCTATGATAGAGAATTCCTTGTAGATAAGGCCACCAATGCTCTTGAAAAGGCTAGGGTGATATTACAAAAGGAGGAGGACATTAGAAGAAGAAGAAGAAGAAGCCCCAATTATCTGCTTTATACTGATGATTATGAGAATGTGATAAAGTCACTGTTGAAGCTTGGTGAGTTTGATGAGGCCATGAAGTTTGTCAAGAAGTGGGAAGGAATAAGTAATAATTGTATGGACCCTGTGGATCCTATTAGCATTCCCTACACAATCATTGAGGAGTACATCAAAAGTGGTAAATTTCGAGAGGCATTTAATAAAATTCAGGCATGGTCTAGAATAGGAGGGGAAAAGGTTGATGTCGACAAACTCTCACGTTTACTTTGTAAAGAATACCTTAGAGTTGGTGATGTGTTTCAAGCATTTAAATGCTTTTGGTGGGGGGTAACTCGCCATGCTTCCCAACAAGTTCACCCGATCCTGCCGACGTTGTTTTTCAAATACTTGGAAGAGTGTGGAGCGTTCTTTCCCTTGCGCTGCACCGGCGGTACAACATGACAACTCAACTCAACCCTTACATATGGATTATGAGAATATTATCAAGACACTAGTCGAGTTGGGGGAGTTAAATGAGGCTAGGAAGATGGTGACAGAGTGGGAAGACGCATCAGACAACCGGCGCAGTAGTAGTTGCGACAATCTGAACATTCCTAAGTTGATCATCGAGGGATACTGTAAAAAAGGTTTGTTTTTGAAAGCAGAGGAAATGGCAGAAGCTTGGACAAGAGAGAAAAGGGGCCAGGTTGCAGAAACATGGTTTGTACTGGCTTCGCATTACCAGCTACATGGTAAAATGGTGAGAGGATTGGAGTGCATGAGGAGGTGTTTCAATATAACTCCCGGGCTCAAGGGCACTTACAATATGATGTGTTGGACGTTTATGAATGGCATTCAATATTCAAGAGGCATGATGATGATGATGATGATGAATGGCATTCAATATTCAAGAGATATGATCTCAGAGTATTAGTCGCACAATCTGCAACAACTTAAGTATTTTGTTCTGTTTTTCTAATAAAGTATTTTGTTACCGTATAAAAAAATGTTAGGAAAGATTAAGTATTGTGTATCTTTTAGGAAAAAATCAAATGAATACTCTTAGAAATTATTCAATTTTACACTAATATTCTAGATTGCCGACTAAGGTGAATATATGGTATTTTAAATGGTGACTGGATAGTTATTAAGTATGAGTTGGTAATTAATCACAAAAAATAGCTTGAATGCGTTATAATTACCCCCTCCACGTGATTTTAAAATAAAAATGTAATGAATCTAAAAAATGAAGTGTTTATATTATAATTAGATAAATTATGAATAGTGTTTTAGTAAAAAATTTAGACAATTTTAAAGTTTCTATAACGCTGAATTTATATTCTAAAGATCTTTTCAACAAATATAAATTTGATTATGATATATCTATGATGGTGTAAATTAGATACCCGGGCAAACTACTTTAAAAGTCTAAATCGGATCTAAGATAAATTGATGAGTTTAAGAGAATAAAAGGCTAAAAACACACAGAGTGACCGGGAAGATCGTAGGTGGAAACACCTGCAATCCAATTATTATTGAATATTGGGGAATGGTTATACAATGCTCTTTTAGAGAGAGAAATTGGATTCCTATCTTTGAGGGTTACATGAGTATTTATAGTGGGAATAGGTCACTGGTATTTATCTTGTTTGTCTTGTTCTCTTGATTGCCAATCAAGCGATTTATCGTGTAATACTTGGACATATCCTTCGGTGCAAAGGGTCCCTAGCGCTACTTTCCAAAATATGCTGAGCTGTGGATACGCGTGATCCTTGATAGATTACCCGAGTGGATAAGGCCACTCGGTTACACTCCTTGATTTATTCCCTGAGCTGTCTGACAACAAGGGTATGAAATCCACCTGGGTGGTTGTTTGCAACCGATCTCGGTTCGGTTCCTAGGTAAGAATACACCCATCAATCTACTTCAAAATTTATCATTTTGTTCAAGACATTATTGTTCTTTATTTTTTCACTATGTAGTTACCAATATACGCTTAATCATTTATAGTCTTCATTTAAAATGACATGTATTGTGCATAGTTGATAGCCTGAAGTATTGATATAAAATTGAGCAATTTCTGGAACAAAGGTGTAAATTAATTAATTTCAGAATATTAGCATAAAATCACAAATTCTTTGAAGTATCCGCGTGAATTTTTTCTATATCTAAAATTAACTTCATTAACTTCAACGAACAAATATTACTATAATCAAATAACTTTTGTAATGTACGTAGTATGAATCATATATACTTTAAAAAATTCATGTTGTCTATAAAAATCAAATAATAATTACTATAATCTCTATCCCAATTTAATTTGTGTGTTTACTATTTATATGGTCAGATTTTAATCAAATGCTTACCTATTTTTGGTATAGAATTTTGATATAGTTTTAAAATATGAAAATTTTATTTTTTAAATTTTTTTATCAATTTTAAAATAAATTGAATTAAAAACAACTTACAACAGACGATTTTTTTGTAGAGGGAGTGACTATAATTTAATATGCTCCAATATAAATATTTTTCCTCGACTTCTTTCTCATTTCAATCAATAAAATACTCCCTCCGTCCCTTAAAAGTTTTCGGGCTTTGACTTTTTTATGTTTTATGAAAGTGTATTATCGGCTTTGACCTTCCCATTTTGCCCTTAGGGGTTTTTTTTAGAAATGTGATGTTTTAAATCAATGAATAGTGATTAATAGAATAAAAAAGTAAGTAAAAAGTTTAATGTGATGGATGAGATATGGAAAAGTAGGGTTAAAGATAAGTATTTGTATCCATTTTTGACATTTTGAAATATTTTTTAGGATAGGTAAGAATGAAAAGTCGAAATGTTTTAAGGGACGAAGGAGTATGAGTTTGAAATATGAGTAAATAAAAATACATCATTGATCTAGTTTACCTTGTCTAACCGATTGAAACTTGACCCAATTACTTCTTCAATTTGATGTCTAGTGCTCTCTTCAAAACATTACGTTAAACATTTTTCTAAATTGTCTTGCTAGTAGACGTGAAAGATCTGACCGACTCGCTATAATTTTCAATCAAAATCTGATACGAAAACATTGTTTTGAACAGTTATAAATCAAACTTGCCTGACCGATTTGCTAATATAAGAATTTTTCAAAATCATATACCTTATTATGAAATACGAGTATAACGCAATAAAAATAAGGTTGTTATATTTTATTTCTTACTGCTCGTTTTTAATGTATATGATGGTGTAAATATAGCTGGGTGGGTTAACCGGGTTTGACCTGGACACACTCGACCCGTGATATAAAACACATACAAGAACACAAAGTATGACCTAGACCGGGTAAATCTCCTCAGTCTGAAATATATTTCTTACTCTATCTCGAGAGTGTACTATTTTTTAGTGAGAGAAAGAATGGATCCCCTCCTCTATCCAATATCATCATATTTATAGAGGAGGATTTGTGACCTTCCCCTATTCACCCATGGACAAAATAAGAAACCTGGAGGAAGGCCACTGTACATAATCTAATCACTGTTCAATCATAGACTTGCTACTAATACAACCAAGAAGCACTGTTCAATCAAAGACTATAAATGGATATTCTCAATCCAATCAGCCATGCAAGGTGACAAACATCCCTTTCACTGTTTGCCTCATGATGGATGAGCGGCGGGGTGGTCCCTCGGTCTTTGACATGGTTCGCCATGCCCGAGAGACTGTATCAATGTTAGCCAAGTAAGAAGATATGACCGGTCACCTTTTCTCAAAGGTTACCCGGTCATTTTAATTTGGTCTTCCTGAATATTCTTCGGAAATCGCCCAAAATGTGACCGGTCACTTTTTTGGTGGAAGTGACCGGTCAACTTTTGACCCGTCCCAATTGAAGAGCTAACATCATTTTGTGAATAATAAAAGTGACCTGGTCATACTTTGACCTGTCCCTTTCGGTTATCTGGGCCGGGTATAAGGATATACCCATCAGTATAAATTTATATTTTCAGAAAAAACATTAATGATGTTGCATAATTATTTGCTTTATTCAAATATTAGGTAACTTTAATTCTTTATTTTAATTTACTCCTCACGTTCTACAAAACATTCTCTTTCATTTTTTTCACTTTGCTAAAATACTTCAACTTTCTATTAAAAACCATTTTTACCTCTATTTTTTTATCATACCTATCACATCATAATTTTTTTCTAATAATCTATCCATCTTATATTATTTTTATCCATCACATCAAAGGCAAAATTTGGAGTACAATTTAACACTTCCTTATTTGATCAATTGGTCAATGATAGAATTGTTTTCATGAACAGAGGGAGTACATACTTAAAAATTACTTCAAAATTTAAAATAAAATAATACAATAGATTTAATCAAAATTTTTTATAATTTAACTTTATTTAATGCAAAATGCAGGTTTTAATACTAATTTAAAAACTTTAAAAACTAAAATCATAATTCAATCTCGAACCCTACCTGGTTGACCAATCTAGCCATGTTGTGACTCTGATGGTGTCATGACTCATGAGAGGCTACTCCCCCAATAGTTAATGCGTCGTAGGTAAATTAATGGACTTTTTTCTCTTGAAAAAAATTGAACTATATCGTGAAATGTGTATAGTCCCTTCGTCCGGAAAAAAAAAGTTATTTTTCCACTTTCAAAAAGTATAAAAGGTGTAGTTAGAATTTGATGAGAATTTTGTTTACCCACATGTGCTTTTCCTGGTAAGTACTTGCAAAAGTAAATACTTCTTCTGTTCCTAAATATTTATAACATTTACTTTTTCAATAGTCCCGGAAACTTTTATTTATTTCTACGTTTTCATTAGTTATTTGATAAAATAAAATATTCTTAACACCTCTTATTTCGAATAACTTTTCAGGTAGTTTTTTGATATGTAAATTTTATTTTTTTATTTCTATATTAATATGTAAATAAAATGAATTGAGAAAACTTGATATTTTACCTCGTTATAGAAGTGTGACAAATATTTAAGGACGAAGGGAGCAAATAAAATAAAAGACTGCTCTCTCCAACTTACTACTTAATTTTATTAGAATCAGATAAGAAACACAACAGTTTAAATATAATTAAAAAAATGATAACAAGTCCTAGGTGTGGAGGGGTCCAAATAATTCTTGGTCGTCGTCGTCTTCTTCTTCTTGGGTGCAACATAATAAATCATTCAGTTGAAACAAATTTTGGGAGCGCATGCGATCCTCAGACAGCCCTGCGGCATTCATGCCCCTCGAATATTCAATCATATACACATACATCTCAAACAACACAAAGCCTCCATACCTTTTGAGCCATGGTGTTAAACTAACAAATCTCAGCATGCACTCGAATCCTCTCACCAATTTACCCTCTTCCTGGTAGTGACAAGCAAGCATCAACCAAATCCCTCTGACCCAAGGCTTATTTTCCCTTGTCCAAGCTTCGGCCATTCCCTCCGCTTCCACAGAGCGGTTCTTCTTGCAGTATCCGTCGATGATCAGCTTGGAAATGTTCAAACAACCATGGAGATGGAGACTACTACTACTACTACTACTAGTCAAGTTGCCAGAAGATGCTTCCCACTCCATCGCCGTCTTCCTAGCCTCATCAAACTCCCCAGACTCCACTAGTGATTTTATTACACCCTCATAATAATCCATGTTTTTTACTGCTTCTTCTTCTTCTGCTGCTGCTGCTTGGGTGGTGGGGGGGTGTACCAGTACCGCAGCTGTGAGCGTGTATTTCGGGTTGATTGGAACGAGTTCAAAGAATGTTTTGCCTCCAGCAGTTCTGAGTGATGACACCGCGCAGCAGCACAATGACCTTCCACCGCTGGAGGGGAAAAATGATCCACACTCTTCTTCCAGGTATTGGAAAAACGACCTCTGAAGCGCTAGAGGTCCATACACAATCGCACCCTTTCCCTGAAAGCATGAATATGCATCAAATAGATCGCCCGCTTTAAGCAATCCGTTGCAGAGTAAAAGTGAAAGTCTGTCGATGCCAGCCCTCCCCTTGCTTTCCCACTCCCAAATCATTCTGTAAGCTGCCCTTAGTGAAGATTCAGAACCATTTTTTATGTACTCCTCAATGATTGTGCAAGGAATACTGATATCACCCACAGTGCACCAATTACCCAGCGATTCCCACTCCGTAGCAAACCTCATAGCCTCACCAAACTCGCCAAGCTTCACCAGAGACTTTATCACATTCTCATAATCACTATTTATCAAATTGTGGCTTCGATCATCACCACCACCACCATCATCATCATCATTCTTATTCTTATTCTTATTCTTATTCTTTTGTAATATCACCCTAGCCTTTTCAAGAGCATTGGCGGCCTTATCTACAAGGAATTCTCTATCATAGAACTCGGCTACCACGGCGTAAGTACACCAGTCCATGACAATGTGGGGTTGACTCTCCATTTCTCTCAGCATTCTCTCCATCCCATCCACATCATAGTTTAACCCAAATGAACTAATGCAGATTCTGTAACTATCATTATCGGGTGAAACCCCGCTCTTCTTCATCCCGGCTAACACCTCAAGGACCTTATCAACTTGGAGACTTTTGGCATAAAGGTGCATGATTTCATTGAATGGGCGAGGCGACGACACAAAACCCAACTCTTTCATCTTCTGAAAATGAAATAAAGCCTTTTCTCTTCTGTGTTTAT